CTTGGGAGGCTGAGGCAAGAAAATCACTTGAATCCAGGAGGCCAAGGTTGCAGTGAGCCGAGATCGCGCCACTGCGCTCCAGCTTGTGTGACACAGTGAAACTCCATCTCAACAACAACAACAAAAAAAAAATTCAAAGGATGCACAGCCCTCTCCACCACTAAAACTACCTGTTTTCAGCTCCCGCCCTAGACAGTGAGTTCAATGAAGGCAGAAAGTGATGCTGCTTGTCTGATTAATGTTTGTATTCCCACCTCCTGGTACAGAGCCTGGAATTCAATAGTAGGTGACTGGTTGGCTCCAAAATACAAAACCAGGAAGTACACCAATAATAGTACTGACTTTCATAAAACCCCTCCATTTAGGAGGCCCCAAACACCTTCGCAGATTTAGCTTGGGCCGATGTGAGAGCCACCAAACTCTCATGTCCAAGGGGAAAGCAGTCTCCCCAGAACATAGTGCCCCTCTTGTGATAACATACCAACATCAGAAAGAAAGAATCCCTTCTTATTTCCAAGTTCTATGTTTTATGATTAACATAAAACAGTGCCAGCCTCCCCTTACTAAATTCTGCAGAGAATGCCCAGCTCTTCTCTTTGAAGGTGAAGAACTTGTCCTCAGTTGTTTTCAGTAATGATCCTACAATAGGACAAGTGCCATTCTATCATCTCGTTACACTAGTCACTAAAATGAACTACCACCAGCAAAACCTAGAAGGTAAATGGACCAGCTGGACACAGCTGCAAGTACCAATAATGTGTGTGTGTCAGGATCATGCAACCTCCCCAGAAGCAAGTAAACAACATCTTTTCATTTTGATTGCTTGTCACTCATTTACCTCCAAGGAGCTTAGCAAGGATTCATGTTTGCTGGGAGATCCTTGGATGAGCCAGCCATTGTGATAAATACAGATTGATGTTATTGATAAATTATTTAAATGCTTACTCAACTGGGCACATCTAATGCCTTACTACTTTTGAACACAGAGTCATGGTCTGTTTCTTGGTCAGATATTTGGCTGGCGGAGGGGGGGCGGTCTCAGAACCTCCATCTTCAGTATAAAAGAGTATCAGGTATATACAGTAGCATGTGGGCTTGTGAGTGTTTGCATATGGGAAGGAACTATCTTCTGCCCCATGCTGGGATGTGAGCTTCTTGACGGGTTTTGATCTGCATCTCTGTATTCCATCATCTAACCTAGAGTATCTAGGTCTAGGGTACGCTGTTCTGGTTAAGCATAGCACAGAACAGAAATTCACTCAAATGAGCCCAAGATAAAAGTGGGGCTTATAAAAGACATCCAAAGTCTCATAGGGCATGGAGAATCAGGAGTCTCTCTCCTTTCTTCGTTTCACGCTCCTCATCTTTCCTCCTCTCCTCTCACCTTCTCTCTGCCTCCTCTGCCCTTGTATCTTGCCCATGGCCCCACATGGTTGCTCTAGCTCCAAGTCAATGAAATGTGACCCAAGGATAAGTGAGCTCAAGCACCTGATATGCACTGGAGTTTCCTTTTGACTCTCTTGGCTCAAAAGGGATCTTATTGGCCCAAATGAGTCCCTTGGGTTTTACATTCCAATCAGCTGAGCTGAGCCTTGGGGGAGGGTAGCAGGAAACTGGGTGTGTAGAATTGGCCCTTCTAGTGCTGGAAGAAGACAAAGGAAACATAGCTATCATAAAGGTGTTCGACAGCAAATGCATGTTGAATGAATATTTCACCAACTAAAGGGCCTTTCCCCCTAACACACAGAGGAAAAGAAACACCCAGTTGGAGATGAGTTAATGACGTTCCATCCCCAGAACACAGGTCTCACAGTCTGTCCTTTAGGACGGCCAGCTCTGGTACCATTGAGAAAACTGCCTTCAAGCCACTGATGTTGTGATCTGGAGCAAGCGGCCCGGAACTCCTCTGTGCCACAGTTGCTCCATCTTTAAAATGAGAGCAAAATTATCTGCCTTTCAATGTGATTGTGAGAATTGAAACAGGCCAGTAGACCAAGAAGATGCTGTAAATTCCCAAGACCAGACTGCATTCCTGAGGCTAGAGCTTCCAATCCATGTACATTGGGGGCTCATAAAGCACATTTGTAGAGCTCAGTCCTTCCCTATTTAGAGGTAAGGATCCCCCACTGTCTCCACCCTACCCACAACCCCGAAATAATGTCCTTCATCCAAAGGAGTCAAATGACCTGAAACCGAGTTCCAAATCTGTGTGCAACTCCTCATGTGACCTTGATGAAGTCATTCGCCCTGACCAGGCCTCTGTTTCCTTAGAAACAACATGAGAATTGGAGGACAGCCAGTGACACCCACCAGTCCAAGTGCCAGGGCTGCTGCAGGGCCACGTTTTAATTGCTATGCAGCAAAATTAGAAAAATAAGTCAACAGTGAGTGAGTTTTTCATAATGCCTGACTTATTCAGTTCAAAGTTCTGTACTTTATTCTGAGGTTATGTCCTCCTTTCTCTTTTTGTGGTGAGTGGCCTTTCTTTGGTGAAGGTAAAGGACATCGTTCGTTTTAACACTCTTACTGTCCTTTCTTGAAATAAGAAGCTGGCCACCCCATATCCACCCTCCCTGCTTATTTATTTTTTATTGGTCTATAAAATCCCAAAGTATGACAATTAGTAGAGGATATGACCTCAGCCATCCTTTAAAGCTCTGACGGGATCAGACTGTAAGGGAGGCATGAGGATGCCCAGACCCGGAGCCAGATGGCCTGGGTTCAAATTCTGACCCCTTCAATAATAATATCAACCTGCGAGGTGAGGGGATCACTTGAGGTCAGGAGTTCGAGACCAGCCTGGCCAACGTGATGAAACTCTGTCTCTACGAAAACACAAAAATTGGCCAAGCGTGCTGGTATGTGCCTGTAATCCCAGCTATTCGGAAGGCTAAGGCAGGAGAATCACTTGAACCCAGGAAGCAGAGGTTGCAGTGAGCCGAGATCACGCCACTGCACTCAGCCTGAGCTACAGAGCGAGACTCCATCTCGAAATAATAATTAATAATAATAATAATACCTACCGGACAAGTTGTTGTGAGGATTTAGCATGCTCAAGGACATACACTGCTTTTGACAGTGCCTGGCACAAGACGAGTGCCCATTAAGTAACAGTGGTGGTGATGATGATGATGATGTGAAGAAGGAGAAGATAGGAAAGAGGAAGAAGAAGAAAAATCGGAGAAAGGGAAGAGAAGGCAAAGGGAGGGGAGAGAGGGGGTTCCATATTGGGTTTGGCATTTTGGTTGTTATCTCAGGTAACGGGTAAGTAGAAGTAACACAGCCTGGCCTCACATCTGAAATGGCAGGAACAGGAAGGTGGATGGTACCCAAGGCAGTTCTGGCTTCTGGTACACTATATTGCCCTATCAGTAAGACAAGTGTGTGGCTGTCCGTATCAGCGTCCCACCATTAACACAAGCCCTCCCTGCCTAAGCTCCTCTCTACATCAACTCCTGAGTGCTCACTCTGGAGGGAGCACTTGTTTGGTTCCATCAGTATCATCAGCCTTTCTGGGAAAAACTCTGAAACCATATTTCCCCACACACTGTGATGAGCCTGTGGATTGGCTGCGCCTGGGTCACGTGCCCTTCACTGCTCCAAACAGCTCAAGGCTGAATCACTGAGCTTTTAAAAACTCCCAGTGAAATGGGAATATTCCCAGAGGGGACCACTCTGGGGTTTTGCAATAACTTCTAGCTAATGGCGCGGTTCATAAGCGATAGAAGGGACAGAAAGACATTGAAGAGGGCTGGGAAGGACACTAGAGACCCGAGACTGGCAAAAAGATGATGAAAATGATGATTGGAGGCTTGTTTCCCAACACTGGCTTGATTCGCTGCTTTGGGGCCAGTGCTCACCCCTGGACCAATCAGCTTTTGGGAAGGGATGACCATGTGACCAGAAATGCAGATCAGTGGCTGCCGGTGGGAAACTTTCACATCCTGAAAGCTGGAGTTACAGTCAATACTGGGAGAAGACAATTGTGGTTTCTCATGTCGAAAGTTTCGCTGAGCGTGGTGGCTCAGGCCTGTAATCCCAGCACTTTTTGGGAGGCCGAGGCGGGTAGATCACGAGGTCAGGAGTTCGAGACCAGCCTGGCCAACATGGTGAAACCCCATCTCTACTAAAAATACAGAAATTAGCTGGGTGTGGTGGTAGGCGCCTGGAATCCCAGCTACTGGGAAGGCTGAGGCAGGAGAACCGCTTGAACCCTGAAAGTGGAAGGTTGCAGTGAGCCGAGATTGCACCACTGCACTCCAGCCCACATAAAAGGGCAAAACTCTATCTCAAAAAAAAAAAGAAAAAGAAAGGAAGTTTCAAAAACTCCTGAAATTCCTCCTAGTTGAAGAACAGTGGCTCCCCAGAGAGAAGGCCTTTGAAAAACCCCCAGGAGCCTAAGAGACCCATTTGCCTGCCCCTGGGGATGGACCCATCAAAGGCACAGAATTACTTACCAGGCAAGTGGAAGTGGCAATCTCTTAAACTTTTATTAGGTGAGCTTCCACCCCTCCAGGACACACGACTACCATTCTGTTTGTTTGGCAAATAAACTGAAATCTTCCAGCTAATTTGGAACTGTTCATGCTACTAACGTCTAATTTGGAAAATGGTGAATTAGTTGTGAGCAAGTGCCTGGGAGTCAAAGCATCTGAGACCAAATTCCAGCAGTAAGAGAAGTGGAGGGAAACCAATCTGCAATATTTGGGATGCGGGAAAAGTATGCTTGCTTTCATATTCTGGGTAATTGATACTGGTTCTGAAACGGTAGACTTTTGGTAGCTTGACTCATCTAGATAAATTTGACTGTATAGACCTTAGCAAACTTCAAGATTGGTTCTGAAGGACCTGTAGTCTCTTCAAGGTAGTAACAGTTCTTGAGACCTATTGTGGTGGATTTTCACTGATGTCCTAAGCTAGTTCTGAAATCCTCTGATTCTCTGGCTGACTTTTCCTCTGTGAGATTTTCAGTCTCTGAAATAGCAGCAAGTGTTCAGCAGAATGTATTTCTCTCCAGTCTCATGAGTACTAGAACCATGAGATGGTGAAATGTGGGTATTTTTCAACCTATTTCTGCAGGTGTTGGATAGTTTCAGGCTATTTCTGCACATGTTCACTGAGCAGCTACTAAGTGCAAGGAGTGCCCTGTGTTTATTTTCCAGTCACTTACAGTAGATGTTTATTAATGAAAGAGCTTTAATTCTTCCCACACGTCCATATGGCAGTGACTTCCAGAGATTCCCGTGGAAGGCAGGAGAAGGCTGCTTTAATGATGGGCAAGCCAAATACTCGATCGCATAGCACTCTGGCGTGTGTTTAGTTAAGACTACACATCTCTGAAGGGATTTGTGGAAGACAGCATTGTGGATCATTTAAGAGGCCTTACAAGTGGCACTTTGACATGTTTGTTAAGTGTCAGGCACAGGAGACCAGGATGAGCTGTCAAATCAGAAGGACAAAAGCACCCCACAGCTGCCTGAAGAGTCAGAGGAGGCTGCTCCCTGCACAGATGTGAAGTCTGCCGATGGGGACAATTTCTGCTCTAAGCACCAATGCCTCCAGCCATAGGGTTCTACCAATCCAGTGAAAATTACCTGCAGTTAGAATTGGATCAGCCCTTCTACCAAGTGCATTCAGTTACCAGTGGCTCCTGGAGCTCTCTGGTGACAACCCACAAGGGTCATCTGGGGAGCTTGTTAAAAATGAAGATTCCTCAGCCTCACTCCCAGAGTCTCTGATTGAGGGACTCCATGGTGTGGCCCAGTAAGATGTATAAACCAATACCCAAGAGACTCCAGTCAGACCTTTCCCCAGACCACACTTTCAGAATATGGTTCACAAGATGCTTCTATCATGGTCTGTCTTCTAAACTCCTGGCTTGAATAGTCAGCATTTCTACCAAGCTGTTCCAAACCTACAAGGTTTATCTCAGTGGATGATGCCTCTGCTACTCCCATACCTAAGTCAGAAGCTTAGCCCTCACTCCCAGCTCCTCATCCCCCTCAAGTCCTTGCTTTTTCTCACTCTCAGCTCTCATAGGCTCTTTACCATTTGGTATGTTTTTGGAGTGGCTGGTGCTGGTTGTTCCTTTCTATGTTTAGTGCCTCTTTCAGGAGCTCTTGTAAAGCAGGGCTGGTGGTGATGAAATCTCTGAGTATTTGCTTGTTCGCAAAGGATTTTATTTTTCCTTCACTTATGAAACTTAGTTTGGCTGGATATGAAATTCTGGGTTGAAAGTTCTTTTCTTTAAGGATGTTGAATATTGGCCCCTACTCTCTTCTGGCTTGTAGGGTTTCTGCTGAGAGGTCTGCTGTGAGTCTGATGGGCTTCCCTTTGTGGGTAACCCGACCTTTCTCTCTGGCTGCCCTTAGCATTTTCCCCTTCATTTCAACCCTGGTGAATCTGACAATTATGTGCCTTGGGGTTGCTCTTCTTGAGGAATATCTTTGTGGTGGTCTCTGTATTTCCTGGACTTGAATATTGGCCTGCCTTGCTAGGTTGGGGAATTTTTCCTGGATAATATCCTGAAGAGTGTTTTCCAGCTTGGATTCATTCTCTCCGTCACATTCAGGTACACCTATCAAACGTAGATTAGGTCTTTTCACATAGTCCCATATTTCTTGGAGACTTTGTTCATTCCTTTTTACCCTTTTTTCTCTAATCTTGCCTTCTCATTTTATTTCATTGAGTTGATCTTCAACCTCTGATATCCTTTCTTCTGCTTGGTCAATTCAGCTGTCAAAACTTGTGTATGCTTCCCGAAGTTCTCATGTTGTGTTTTTCAGCTCCATCAATTCACTTATATTCCTAAGTTGTCTATTCTCGTTAGCATTTTGTCAAATCTTTTTTCAATGTTCTTAGTTTCTTTGCATTGGGTTAGAACATGTTCTTTTAGCTCACAAAAGTTTCTTATTACCCACCTTCTGAAGCCTGATTCTGTCAATTCATCACACACATTCTCCATCCAGCCTTGTTCCCTTGCTGGTGAGGAGTTGTGATCCCTTGTAGGAGGAGAGGCATTCTGGTTTCGGGTATTTTCATCCTTTTTGCGCTGGTTTCTTCCCATCTTTGTGGATTTATCCACCTGTCATCTTTGTAGTTTTTGACTTTTAGATTGGGTCTCTGAGTGGATGTCCAGTTTGTTATGATGATGAAGTTATTTCTTTCTGTTTCTTAGTTTTCCTTCTAACAGTCTGGCCTCTCTGCTGTAGGACTGCTGAGGTCCACTCCAGGCCCTGCTTGCCTGGGGATCACCTGCAGCAGCTGCAGAACAGTAAGGGTTGCTGCCAGTTTTTTCTTCTGCTATCTTTGTCCCAGAAGGATACCTGCCAAATGTCAGTCTGAGCTCTCCTTTATGAGGTGACTCTTTGGATATATGGGGGTCAGGTAGCTGCTTGAGGAGACAGTCTGTCCTTTATAGGAGCTCAAGTGCTGAGCTGTGAGCTCCATTGTTCATTTAGAGCTACTAGGCAGGTATGTTTAAGTCTGCTGTGGCAGAACTCATAAACCCCCTTTTTTTTTTCCCAGGTGCTCTGTCCCGGGGAGTTAGGGCTATATTTATGAGTTTCTGTTGTGCTGCTGCCTTTTATTCAGGGCTGCCCTGCCCAGCGAGGAGGCAGCCTAGTCACTGTCTGCCTGCAGAGGCTTTGCTGAGCTGCTGTGGGCTCTGCCCAGCTGCCGTGTGAACTTCCCTGCAGTCCTGTTTATACTGGTGTAGTTAGAACTGCCTCGGCAATGGTGGCCCACCTCTGTAATTACAGACTCTCTCTGTAATGACGGGTTGCCTCGGCAATGGTGGGCTGCCTCAGCAATGGCGGGCTCCCTCTGTAGTGGTGGACTGCCTTGGTAATGGCGGATGCCCCTCCCCCACAGAGCTGGACTGTCCCAAGTTCAGCTGTGCCTCGACACAGAGCGTTTCCAATTGATGTTTTTTTTTTGTGGGGATGGGACCAGCTGAGTGTGATCACCAGCCTCCCTGCCTCAGAATGGTCAACTCTCTCCCAGGTGTTCCAGTCACCTGTAGAAAAGGCACCGGGATCTGTGTGATTTCCTGTGTGGCACCAGCTGAAACAGCGGTGCTGAGATTCATGGCACTTTTTTGCCTGGGAATCTCCTGGCCTGGCTCCCTGTTTCAGTCCCCTTTTTAATCAGATGAATGGGCAACTCTGCTTTCCTGGAGCTCCAATTGCCAGGTTAAACGGTGCCCGGACCCATGTATTTTGTACGGAGAACTGCCACCCCTGGGCATGGGCAAAACAGCTGTGCCAGCCAAACCAACCACGCTGGAGAACCCTGGGGCTCCTCCACCTGGGAATCTCCTGGCCTGTGGGCAATAAAAATCCATCTGGAAATGCAGCATCCACTCAGCCTCTGCACTTTCACTGGGAGCTGCAATCCTGAGCTGCTCCTAATCTGCCATCTTGGATCCCTCTCTCCGACACTATTTTTTTACAGGAAGAGAATTTGGATACTGGGGGCTCGGGTGGAGAAGGAGAAATGAAAAATACTATTATGAAGCTTTGCATACATCAAAAGTGTATAAAAGATAAAGAATATTGGCCTGCCCATCTCTTGGCTTGATAAATAGAGCATGACCCACACAGTTGGAGACCCCTAGGTATCTTCCCTAATTGTAGCATCCTTTTCTCTCCTGCTCTGACCTTCCTCAGAAGCCAGGCTTCATGTGCAGGCATACTTTGGAAATGTTGCAGGTTCACATCCAGACCACCACAATAACATGAGTATCATAATAAAGTAATTCACACAAAGTGTTAGTTTCCCAGTGCATATAAAAGTTATATGTACACAATACCATAGTCTATTAAGTGTGCAATAGCATGAGTGTGAAAAGCAATGTACCTACCTTATCATGCCTGTAATCCCAGCACTTTGGAGGGCCGAGGTGCGCAGTTCAGGAGGTCAAGAGACCAAGACCATCCGGCCAACATGGCGAAACCCCATCTCTATTAAAAATACAAAAATTAGCTGGGCGTGGTGGTATGTGCCTATAGTCCCAGCCAATCAGGAGGCTGAGGCAGGAGAATCACTTGAACCAGGGAGGCAGAGGTTGCAGTGAGCCGAGATTGCACCACTGCCCTCCAGCCTGGCGACAGAGTGAGAGTCCATCTCAAAAAAATAAAAAAACTACTGCTAAAAAATGCTAATGATCATCTAAGCCTTTAGCAAGCTGTAATCTTTTTGCTTATGTAGGGTCTTGCCTCAATGCTGATGATGACTGCTGAAGGTTAGAGTGGCTGTGGCAATTTCTTAAAATAAGACAACAATGAAGTTGGACACATTGATTGATCCTTCCTTTCATTAAAGATTTCTCTGTAGCATGCAATGCTGTTTGCATTTTGCCAAAAGTAAAACCTCTCAAAATTGGAGTCCATCCCTTCAAACCCTGCTGCTGCTTTATCAACTAAGTTTATGTAATATTCAAAATTCTTCATCGTCATTTTAACAATGTTTATGGCATCTTCACTAGGAGTAGTTTCCAACTCTAGAAGCCACTTTCTTTGTTCATCCGTAAGAAGAAACTCCTCATCCATTTAAGTTTGATCATAGGATTCTAGTAATTCACATCTTTAGACTCCACTTCTAAGTGTAGCTCTCTTGCTATTTTAATCACATCTGCAGTTACTTCTTCCACTGACATCTTAAGTTCTTCAAAGTCATTAATGAGGGTTGGAATCAACTTCTTCCAAACTTTAATCAAATTAATGTTGATATTTTTACCTTCTCCTGTGAATTATGAATGTTTTTAATGACATCTAGCATAGTAATTCCTTTCCAGAAGGTTTTCGATTTACTCAGGTCCATCAGAGGAATTACTATCTATGGCATCTGTAGCCTATGAAATGTGTTCCTTAATACATAATAACAATAATAAGACTTGAAAGTCAAAATTACTCTTGGATCCACAAGCTGCAGAAAGGATGCTGTGTTAGCAGGTATGAAAATAACATTAATCTCCTTGTATGGCTCCATCAAAGCTTTGAATGGCTAGGTGCCTTGTCAATGACCAGTAATATTTTGAGAGGAATCTTTTTTTCTGAGCAGTAGGTCTCAACAGTGCACTTAAAATATTCAGCAAACGATGCTATCTACAGATATATTGTCATTCAGGCTTTGTTGTTCCATTTATTGAGCACAGATAGAGTAGATTTAGCATAATTCTTAAGGGCTCTAGGATATTTGGAATAGAAATTAGTATTGGCTTCAATTTAAAGTCACCAGCTGCATTAGATCCTAACCAGAGAGTCAGCCTGTCCTTTGAAGCTTTAAAGCCAGGCATTAATTTCTCTTATCTAGTTATGAAAATCCTAGATGACATCTTTTTCCAATAGAAAGCTATTTTCTCTACACTGAAAATCTGTTGTTTAGCATAGCCACCTTCATTAATGATCTTAGGCTGGATCTTCTGGATAACTTGCTGAAGCTTCTCCAACAGCACTGGCTGCTTCACCTTGAACTTTTATGTTACACTAATGTCTTCTTTTCTTAAATCTCATGAACAAACTTCTGCTAGCTTCCAATTTTTCTTCTGAAGCTTTCTCCCATCTCAGCTTTCATAGAATTGAAAAGACCTAGGGTCTTGCTCTGGATTCGGCTTTGGTTTAAAGGAATGCTATGGCTGGTATGATCTGCTATCTAGACCACTCAAACTTTCTCCATATCAGCAACAAGGCTGTTTTTCTTCCTTATCATTCATGTGTCCACTGCAGTCGGCACTTTTAATTTCCTTCCAGAACTTTTCTTTTGCATTCACAACTTGGCTAAGTGTTTGATGCAAAAGGCCAAGCTTTTGGCCTGTCTTGGCTTTCCATGTGTCTTCCTCACTAAGCTTAATTGTTTCCAATTTTTTATTTAAAATGAGAGATGTTAAATCCTCCTTTCAGTTGAACACCTAGAGGTCATTGTAAGGTTATTAAATGGCATAGTTTCGATATTGTTGTGGCTCAGGGAATAGGGAGGCCTTAGAAGAGGGAAAGAAATGGGGAAATAGCCAGTTGGTGGGGCTGTCAGAACACACACAACATTTCTCAAGTAGGTTCACCATTTTTTTTTTTTGAGACAGAGTCTTGCTCTGTCACCCAGGATGGAGTGCAGTGGCGCAATCTCAACTCACTGCAACCTCTGCCTCCCAGGTCTATTAAAACTCCTTCCCTCTGGGTAGACTTCCTAGGTGTCACCCCATCTCATTCAGCAGCTAAGAGCCCACTCCTCTGACCTTTCACAGCTCTTTTACTCTCCCATTTTATTTAATATCCTCCTGGTAGGCAGAATTCTAAAAGCACCCCTAAGACTCTCACCTCCTGGTGTAAACAGTTATATAATCTCCCTCGCTTCAGTATGACAAGAATTATGAATATGGTAGGATTTCACATATGTAATTAGGTTACATTCTATAGCAAAGGCATAGGGATTTTGCAGATGTAGTTAAAGTCCCTAATCAGTTGACTCTGAGTTAATTAAAAGGGTGATTATTATGGGCAGGCCTGACCTAATCAGGTGAGCCCTTTCAAAGAGGATCTGCTCATTCCCTGAAGGAAGAGAATCAGTGCAAAAAGAGATTCTCCTCCTGGCCTTGAGGAGGCACAGAGCTATGACATGAACTGCCTAGTATGAGGGCCACATTGGAGGAAATGACAAATGACCTTTAGGGGCCGAGGACAGGGAGTCAAATTCTACCAAAAATCACATGAGCTTGAAGAGGTCCCCAGCTTCAGAGGAGAACACAGCTGTATTAGTCCATTTTCATGCTGCTTATAAAGACATACCCAAGACTGGGTAATTTATAAAGAGGTTCAGTGGACTCACAGTTCCACATGGCTGGAGAGGCTTCACAGTCATGGTGGAAGGAGAAAGGCATGTCTTACATGGTGACAGGCAAGAGAGAACATGTGCAGGGGAACTCCCATTTATAGACCATCAGATCTCATAAGACTTATTCACTAGCATGAGAACAGCACAGGAAAAATCTGCCCCCATGATTCAATTACCCCCCACCAGGTCCCTCCCACAACACATGGGGATATATTACAGTTCAAGGTGAGATTTGGGTGGGGACACAGAGCCAAACTGTGTCAACAGGTAGACTTCCTGTTCATGATACCCTGAGCAGAAAATTTCGCTGAGCTGTACCCAGACTTCTGACCTCATGGTACCCTGAGCAGAAAATCTGGCCAAGCTGTACCCAGACTTCTGAGCCACAGAAACTGAGATAATGACTGGGTGTTGTTTAAAGCCACTAGATCTGGGATACTCATTTCCCAACAATAGAAACTCAACAGATCAGATGTGTCTCCCCGACCAGACTCCAATCCATTCAGCCACAAACACGGATTGTGGACCTACTATGTGCCTTGCATTTCCATTAGTCCTGGGGTTACACAGAAACCCCAGCATTGCATTTGGCTGACACAGTCACTCGATGAATGTTTGCTGAATGAAGGAGCTGCAAACATCCCACAAAAAATTCACAAGTATTTGCTCGTGTCCCAGATGAACTTCTGACAGCTCCTGTGATTTTTCCTAAGGCTATCCCATTTATAGTTGTGCAGTTGTGCAGCTTCTTTTCCTAATTCTTGAGTAAAAATAATAGTTGTTCCATATGGGAAAAGATGCATTTAGAAAATGTGTTGGATATTATACAACAGATTCAGAAGTCCTGCCATACAAAAATGTCTTTCATGCAAGTTTCCAAACTTAACCACAAAACCACCTCCTTTACTTTTGTAACTGAAATACTCAATAATATTTATCATTACTCAGTTTGGGCAATTTTCTGTCTAAAATCAGAAGTCATTAACACCTGGCAACCATCAGCTAGGAGGGCATCATTAGCCCTGGTAGCTGCAGCCAGAGAGGTGGGACCAGTTTGGAGCTGAATCCTGAAATCAGTTTTCTGATTAAATCCAGGACGTGCATCTCAGGCTCCTCTCTCCTCAGTCAGGCTCACAACCCCAAGTTTTATTAACTGTATTCCTTCATTTCTCAGCTTTTATGTTGCTTTTTAACAGCTTTATTAGGGTATAATTTATATACCATAAAATGTTCCCATTTTAAGCGTACAATTTCATTATATCTACAGAGTTGTATATCATCACTCGCTAATTTCAGAACATTGTCATCTCCCCAAAACCAAACCTTGTACCTATTTACCCTCCTCCTCCTCCCAATTCCTAACCCTACCCCCCAGATAATCACTGATCTCCTTTCTATGACTAGTTCCACTCATTCGGGATATCTCATATAAGTAGAATTATACAATTGGTGTTCTTTTATAGCTGACATTTCACTGAGCATGTTTTTGAGGTTCACTCCTGTTGTAGCATTCATCAGTGCTTTTTTTTATTGCCAAATACTAGTCCATGGTATAGCTAGACCACATTTTATTTAACCATTCATTAGTTGATGAACATTTGGAATGTTTCCACGTTTGAATTACTACGAATAATGGGGCAGTGAATATTCATCTATGAGTGTTTGTGTGGATGTATGTTTTCATTTCTCTGGGTAAATAACTCATAGAATTGCTGAGTCATATGGTAATTTTATGCTTAACATCTTGAGAAATTACCAAACTGTTTTTGCAAAGCGGCTGTAGCATCTTATATTCGCCCTGCCAATATAGGAAGTTCCTTGTATCTTCACTATACACTCTGTTTCAAACGACTGTCCTGACCTTCCTATCTCTTACTTACTCCTGACCTCTGAATCCTTGCCTACCTACCTGGATTTGTCATCTGCAGCTTCTCCCCATCTTCTAGAAACTTACATTTTTAACTTCTTGACAATTTTTTATAGATGAACTACTTGTCCATGTCCTGACCTCAACTGAATGACCTCCCTAACCTCAGCTCCTTGACTGTCCATGCCCTGTGACAAAAACCCTTCACCGTATTTGGATTTTTGGGGGATTTGTTTTTTAAAACAAGACCAAATATAACCTTGCAGAAATGTACATAGAATTCAAAACTAAGAACTGTGAGCACAATCAATTTTTCAGAATGCTTCTGCTTTTTTTTTTTTTTTTAACTACTATTGAGGAATAAAACTAGGTCTATGGTTAAATGGCTTAGTGTAATGCTGCCTTCATGCAATAATTATACCAAACAGAAATGAGTTATTATTTCCTGTAATTGCTCCCGTTTTTCATGTATCGAATCTCTGTCCTCTGCTCACTGAATTCACTCTGCAAAAATTGCTAAGTAGTCTTACACTTCTGTTTTTGCTTTGGCCTAATTCAGTAAAATGGGTTCTTTAGGGGGTAAATCTCTCTTGGCAAAGCTTCTTTGAATGCCCCATGTGGGATCAGGGGCTCCATGAACCTATGCTGTGTGAACCTTGCAAGTGTTCTGGCAAATTGGTCAGAGGCTAAGGAAACCAGCATTGAGAGCACGGAGTGTCCCCACCCCGTCTCCCTATAAAGGCAGCCAGCGTTTTGAATTTATTTGTGCTACTTGAATCAGGAACACTATGGGCTGTGAGACCCCAAGCCGGGGCAAATGGCGATACCCCCCTTCCATTAAGATTCCACAGAGATTTACCCGTAATCAAATGACCCATCCCTCTAACCGAGCTGGCGACTGGAGCTAAGTAGTGAGGATGGCAGGGGAGGAGAGGCAGGGTTTGCATTGAGTTGGCACCAGAGTGGGCTGACAGTGAGTGCAATCCATCTGGAATTGAACCAGGAGCCCCCACCTGCTCCAGTGCAGAGAACCTGAAGGGGTGTGGTTCTGATAGAATGCAAACCCCTGGGGAAGCCCCGCTGGGGTAACAGGACCCAGCCAGTGCTATGGGAAGGCTGCTCCCTGCAGCTTCAAGGAAGCTACCTCTTGCATCATTCCCACTGCCTCTCTGGGATCAGCCCTCAGGAGCCAGGCCAAGTCATTTTCATCAATGAATGAGTAGGTGGGAAACTTTAGAATAACTCAGTGGGCAACACTTTGCGCTTAAGCGTGGCTCTACAGGTTATTTCAGTGGTGGCCAAGGGAACATTTGGGGGCTTCATATTTCTTGATGCAGATTAATGACACAGAGTCCCCTGGCATGGCACGGCACAAAGGCTGTGTGTTCACGTGGCCAGCATCAGACTAAGGGACCTCAGGAGGTGCTGGCGTGGGTTCAGAACCCAGGGGAAGAGGA